TGGAGGCAATTTGACAGGTCATTAATATAGATAAGGAACACCAACGGACCCAAATTACCCCCTTGTGGGACGCCGCACGTTACTGACGTCGAACCTCATTAACTTTGCATTTTTGTGTTCTGCCAGTAAGATATGTTCGAACCATTTTAAACTATTATGGTCGATACCATAATTTTCTAATTTCTGTAAAATTATCTGAAGGTCAATAGTATCAAAGGCTTTTTTTCAGATCAATGAAAACAACCCAACTGATTATACCATTATCTATATTAACAGACCAGCTATTTGTAGCCTCCAGCAACGCTGTTACTGTACTAGCTATGCAATGACCGAAATCCAGATTGACAGGAAGTCAACAGATTGTTGTCGCTAAAATATTTATTAAGTTGGTCGAAGATAATTTTCTCAAAAATCTTTGAAACCGTTGGAATCACAGATATAGGCCTATAATTACTCGGCACATGCAAAATATCTCTGTTAAAGAAGGTGCAACAGCAAATATCTCTGTTAAAGAAGGTGCAATCACATCTGCCGCCATTTTTAACAATTTATTTGGTGTTTTATCAAGACCAACAGATTTCTTTTCATCAATCGTTTTCGTCAATCCGTGGACTCTATCAATCATAGGAGTTTGCAGGTTGAACGTTTTATCTGTAGGTGTGAGATAGACCTCTGGATTATACTCAGAAGCAGGTATTTCAGCTGCAAGATCAACCCCAACATTTGAGAAGTAGCTATTAAACATTTCAGCCATTTTCGACAGGTGAAGTTACTAACTCTTGACGAAGGGCCTTCGCTCGAAACGTCGATTTTTAAGGTAGTAATATAACCACTCAGCACAGCAATTTTACTACTTGCTCGCCTATTTTAATTTCCGAAATTCTTTTAATTTTCGTACAGTTTCGCGAATTTAATTAATTAATTAACTGGGGTTTTTTCATATCTCCTTTATGTTTATCAAGATTTTTGGTAAAGTAAAGTCGCTTTGCTTTTTTGATTTCATTGTTGACCTGATTTCTTGCATGTCTATATTGAGACCATTTTTGTGAATCTTTAGAAGAGATAGCTCTTTTTTTTAAGAAATCACGAATAAAAATTAAATGTCTTAATTCATTGGTAATCCACGAGGGGAGGTTTTTGGTATAGTTTCAGCATTATCCTCATCCAAAGCTACGGGCCATGATAGAATATCACCTAAACTTTTAAAAGTGACTCGGCCGGTGTGATAACCTCTAGCTTAACTCAAATATTTAACCAATCGCTGTTGACTGGTGTTTTTCCCGACGACTATAAGGTCGCAATTATATCACCAATCTTTAAATCAGAAAGCAAATTAGAGTGCAATAACTATAGGCCAATTTCAGTACTTTCAGTTGTAGCTAAAGTTTTTGAAAAACTTATATCAAATCAATTGTCAACATTTCTGGAAACAAGAGGCATACTCACACAACAACAGGCAGGTTTTAGGAAGAAAAACTCAACAGAAACATCGCTTTTAAATTCTACTAACAAGTGGTTTATTAACATGGACAAAGGATATTTAACCTGGACATTAAAAAAGCTTTCGATTGTGTAAATCATGATATTCTAATTAGAAAACTAAAGTTGTATGGGTGCAGTGAAAATACTCTTTGCTGGTTTAAATCGTACTTAACAAATCGACGTCAGATGTGCAAAATTGGTCGTACTATATCTCAGGAACGTGTTATTCGCTGTGGTGTACCACAAGGCTCTACTTTGGGGCCGTTATTATTTTTACTTTACGTAAATGACCTCCCAACTTGCCTATCTCATTCAATAGCTAGTATGTTCGCTGACAATACAAATTTAACAACATCTGGGAAGTCCATAGAAGATATACAAAACCAGTTAAATTCTGATTTAGAAAATATTCATACGTGGCTGTTAACCAACAAATTGACTCTTAACAAAGAAAAAACAGAGTATATGATAATTAGCTCTCGGCAACGGTTAGCAAAAATTGATGACGATCCGAAGATAAGTCTTGACGGTATTGATATAAAAAGAGTTAAACAAGCAAAAACATTAGGTATTGTCATCGACGAAAAATTACTATGGAAAAATCAAATTGACGAAATAACTACCAAAGTTTCTACAATCCTGGACAAAAATAGTGGCAAAAACTAGTTTATTACTTCAAAATATAATTTTATGACAATTTTGCCCCAATGACCCCCCCCCCCCCCTTCCCCCAATATCAATGTTTTGCCAAGCTATCTGGCCTCGAATACACCCATCAACATTGATATTAGGGGAAGGGGGGTGAAATTCGATGAATTTTCTTATTTTGTACCCTTTTGCCAATAATTTATGTCCAGGATTGTATGAATTTGAATGCAAAAATTACGGAGTTTTCCCATAGAATACTCTCGGTTTTAGCTCGCTTTTAATTTTTTTTACCACTCTAGTTTGTAGTTTGGCAAAATATATTATGATTTTGTTAATTTCATTACAAAGTTCAAACTTCCTATTTAAAACTGCGCATGTGATTGGCCATTTGAATTAGGGTTGCCTAATGTATTTCCGCTAGTCTTTGGCGGGAATTTTCAAAGTACTTCTCATAGCTAGGTTTGAACATTGTTTACATTTAATATTATATACATTAAATACGATATGATGGAGAGCGGTGAAGCTAGCGCGAATTTTAGCGAAGAGTCGAATGACATACACTTTATTTCATGACTTAGTGAACGTGAGAAGCGACGGATATACCTCATAAATTGCGCAAGGGCAAATTTAGACAGGTCCCCGAATTGTCTGGCATTTTCCGACATTGTACTAGAGGCGTTCAATAACGGGAAAAGTAGCAAGAAGATTGTCCAATGGGCCTGCTGCATAGAAGTTCATGCCAACGGAGCAAAACATTTTCACATGGCTCTTAAACTGGATGGAACGAGACGATGGAATCCTGTCAAGAATTTTATTTGTGTCACCAACGTGTCACCAAATTTATTAAATTAAAATTACTCTACACAAACGTGTCACCAGTACTAGTATAAGTAAAGTATATATACTTTATATAAAATTTTGGTGACACGTTGGTGACACGTTGATTTACTATACAGTGTGTATCAAAATAATTCGAATCCAAATTTGGTGTGTAATAACGCAAAATGTATTTGACAAATTCGGTTGGTTTTTACACCATTGTTAAGTTCATTTATTTACCTTTCAAATGACATGTTGTACGCGTCATTTAGTTGGAAAATGAAGGAGTATTGCTTTGACAAAAAAAGTCCATAAAAATCACAATTTTCCGCCGATGGGAATTGAACATTTTTTCTTTCAAAGTTAGTCCCACAAGGCTTTGAAATGCTAATCATCACTGAAAACTAAAATGCAAATTTAACGCGAATTTCTTCTTGTTCAACATGTTGAAGGCATAGGAGCTTAAATCTCTCTAAATAACACGAATTTATGTAAATTTTGCTACATAACAGTTTGTTGATTAATTAAATTTGCATTATCTTTTGTCTGTACGTCTCACTTCGAATTCCCATCGGCGGAAAAATTTGATTTCGAGCAACCAGTTTTAACACACGATTTCTTGGTCATTTTTGGTCTTATTGATATAAGAACGATATAATCGAAAACCTAATAGGCTATTCTTTATTGCCATATACAAATTATATGGTTTACTTTAGTATTTTATAAACAGCAGTCTGTCAAATTTGGATTCGAATTATTTTGATACACACTGTATATGAAGCACAATTATCTTGGTGACATGTATGGTGACACGTCAAATTGAAATTGTAGGCAAAGGACTATTGTTGGGAATTATTAGTTTTAATTCTAAATTAAAATCTCCACAAGCGGAGGTCAATTATACAGGGTGTCCCAAAAAAACCCGAAAACTATTGAAATCACCAATAACAATTTAATTGTTAGAATTTGAATGCCTTAGCGCTCTGTTGGTTCCCACGAGTGCATAAGTTATTGACATAAGTAAATTTTATGCATAAAGAAACTGTTTAAGAAGTTGTTTTTAATTCCCAAGAGCAGAAAATCGCGCACTTTACCAGGAGATATTCCTAACTAAATTTTAATACATGCACCTTGTCAATATTTTACGCATCATTACGTCCAGCTGTTTGGTAGGGCATTCAAATTTAACAATAAGTGATTTCAATAGTTTTCGGGTTTTTTGGTACACCCTGTAGTGTTGTAGTTCACATATTATCATTAATCATCATGTTAGTTCAAAGAGCTATTTAAATTGAATAAACACGGGAATAGAACTTAGGGTGTGTTCTGCACATGCGTAGGATAAAATCCCACGAGCGCAAACGAAACTATTGCTGTATAAAATTGAACTGAAAGGATTCAGACGATTTTGGTAGTGCTTCGGGCGCCCGATGATATAGTATGCATGAGGGGCCTTTATCACTGTTAACTTCTCATCTTGAGATTGTGACGCTATTGCGTGTACTTGTCAGGGTGACGAAGATGTATTATTGCTAATAATGTCTGTGTGCACATAAATGTCAAATTCATGAAAGTTGTGTAAATATATAAAGAATCACTTTATATCAGAGTCATTTCATACTATTTTGAGTATAAGTAAAAACCCTATCAGTCAGACCACAGTTAATAGACTGAGATGGTTAGGAGAGTGGGCGGGATTTACTAATTATGTTCGGTTTCCAGTTATTTCCGTCACGTGATCGGGAGAGTACACATGGCGACAAAACACAATAGAGTATTGTATTGCGGCGACTAGTTTCTTTTCGAAAAGTATTAACAAAATCTTTCTGAATTTGGGAATTTTACATTTTTTACCTCTGGCATGCAATGCCAGGTGCCAACTGCGCTTTGTATGGCTGTGGAACAAGTCGAAGGAGTAATCTTTCGCTGTTCAAAATACCTTTTCCTGCTCGAGACGACGGAGACGAAACCGTAAAGTTGAAGTCTGATGCTCGGAAAGAATGGCTAAGAGTAATTCTAAGGACACGAGAAAACACGCCAGGGTTGAAAAAAAGAATAAATGAAAATAATATATTCTTATGTGAGCTGCATTTCAAACCCGAGTTGATTTATCAACGTAAGTATCTCTTTATTTTCTTTGTTTTTGCGCAAATATATGGTAATTAGACACTTGTCTACATACATACATAAACATTGATCATGGGTAATGGCGTGCAACAAATTTATGTTTATTTCGTTTGTAGATGCCAAAAGAAAAACTTTGGAAACGGGTGCTGTTCCCACACAAAATTTGCCGTCGAAAAGCCACGACTCGAAGCCAAGTAGCCGACGCTCTCTAGTACGAGAAATTTCTGGCGAGACTCCTTCGACATCTGCTTTGCCGCCTGTTGATATCGAAGGTAAATCTGTAAATGTTGTCAACGAAAGTTTTGAAGAGCTTGTTCCACGGGTGAAAGAAAGTATAGCACTTCCATGGGTTATGAAAAAGTGCAACGACCTTGAAATAAGGATGGAACTTTGGGACAATAACTATTCGCTACCGAAGTTTGTTTTACACGTCGATAAATGTTTGCAATTTTCCTTGCATATTTTTAACTGGCTACTGCCCGACGAACACAGTATCTACACTGCTCATCGACGTCGAATCACCTCTGCTGGAGTTGTTGAACTCTTGCAATCTCTTCAAGACGATGACTTCTTGATATGCGAAGGACTACACCAACACGCTGAATACCTCACCACCATTGCAAAAGATCCTGATGACCAATCCCATCCACTCCACCCATCTGATGTTGTACGGCATTCTATCCCAAAGAGTGTAGAAATGGATACAAATTTTGGGGTTTTAGCTGTTTTTCGCTGTGTTACTTGTCAGGTTTTAGTTCGCAGACAAGACCAAGGTGACGTTATCTGTGAACCATGCAAACAACTACAAAGGAAAATTGTAGCACAGCAAAATCGCAGTGCACGCCAATCGAGTGCCCCTGCTAAGGATAAAGCTCCCCTTACTCGTTGCAGTGCGGACAAGCTAAGAGCAACAGTAGTGGAAAGTCGCGTAAAGTGTTCTTTGCTCGAAGCGAAAGTGAAAAGCCTCCAAGTTCAAATAAAAAAGGATTCAATCACAGTTAGTGAGACCCTTGAAAAGGATGTGTTGACAAACATGGGTGGACATAACTTAGAAAGCACACCACACATGAAGTTCTTTTGGGAACAACAAGTCCGCCTGCGGCAAGCAAATAAATTTGGACGGAGATTTCATCCTCAAGTAATTAGATTTGCATTGTCCATTCATTGCAAGTCTGCTTCTGCCTATAGAGAGCTGAGAGACAGTGGTGCCCTCATATTGCCCAGTGAACGAGTTCTTCGGGACTACAGAAATTATTTCAAACCTGGAGCTGGCATTACCAAAGAAAACGTTGAGGAGCTCAAAGAAAAAGCATCAAAGTTTTCTGGGATTCATAAGTATGTGGCAGTGATCATGGATGAAATGAAGATCCAAGAGAACCTTGTGTTTGACAAGACGTCTGGTGAGCTAATTGGCTTCATAGATCTTGGCGATCCTTTAACCACCTTTGCCAATACTGACGAAGAAACCCCAATTGCATCCCATGCACTGGCATTTTTGGTTAGGGGGCTTTGCACCAATTTGAAGCATGTAGTTGCCTACTACTTTACTGGCAATGTTACATCATTTCAACTACTTCCTTTGTTTTGGAAAGTGGTTGGAGTGCTTGAAACCACAGTAAAGTTGTGGGTAATTGCTGCTGTCAATGATGGTGCTTCCCCTAACCGGAAATTCTTTGCACTCCATGCCAAGCTTGGTGGCACACTACCCTGTGGTCTAGTGTACAAGACACCCAATCTTTTCGTTCTGACTCGGATATACTTCTTTGCTGATGTACCTCATCTTATCAAAACCACTCGAAATTGTCTCTACAATTCAGGATATGGATCACGTAGTCGGTATGTAAAGTTTAATATATTTGAAATTGTTGTTCATTATTTGCATGAAACTGGTCTGCTTTTAACTGTTTATTTTATGATTGAGTTAGTTTTCTTTGGTGTACCACAGGATTTGTACTATATATATTACCACATACAGTAGCTGTCCTTGAATACTTATTACAGTAGTCAAGAAATAAAGGGAAAAACCTTGTTAGGAAACCTCCTCAATCATGAAATACAGTTATAAAGCCTATGTAATTGAATGTTGGGCTGTATGCTATATAGAGAACACAAAGATTCCGAGGGCTGTTTAGCATTCAGCTCTTGTTCTCTGGCCTTATCTCTTACTGTACAGTACCATACTGTATAGCTTCATTTTAACCCATTAAATTGCAAAGCACTTTCAAGTGTGCCGGTGTGCCCTACTTTAAGTTTCTACTCTGACTAATGGCACTTGTGGCTAAATTGTGTCAAGAGGAGAGTCGTGCATTGCATTTTAATGGGTTAGTTTCCTGTTCCCATAGTTGCCCAAGTCCTAGAATATATTTTTACCTTTATAGGTACATGTGGAACAATGGCCAGTATTTGCTGTTTAGGCATATTGCTGACATGTTCCACAATGATCAGGAATATGCTTTACACCGACTGCCAAAGCTGACGTTGGACCACATTTTGTTGACCGGCTATTCAAAGATGAAGGTGAAACTTGCTGTTCAAGTGCTGAGTAGAACCGTTTCAACCTGCCTGCTTGAGAGTGATGATCCAAGTGTTGTTGGCACAGCAATGTTCTGTCAGATGGTAAATGACTTCTTCGATTGTTCGAATGTCAGGTCATTGAAAGAGCATCAACTGAAGCGAAATGATCGCATCAAGCCTTATGAGAGCCCCGATGACGAGCGTCTGGTGTGGATGAAGAATACATTTCTAAAGTATCTGGAAGATTGGAAAGAAAGTGTGGCCACGAGAAAAGGATCCTACACTACAGGTGAAAAAGAAAAGATGTTTTTGTCCCGCCAGACCTATGAAGGCTTCAAAATTACAGTCCACTCCCACATTGAAGCCATAAAGTTTCTGCTTTCCATAGGATTTTCCTATGTACTTTCAGAACGCTTTATGCAAGACGTTCTTGAAGACTACTTTGGTCACCAAAGGACTCTAGGAGAAAGATCAGATAATCCTTCA